GGAAGGGACCACTCCCCCAGCAACCGGGACCCTGCCTGCTTGTTTGTCATGAGATGACTCCCCCCAACACCCCTGCGGTCACCATGGGGATGAGCCAAATTCCCCATCCTCCTGGCCATCCGCAGCTCCCCTTGCTTGGGGAAAGGCTGCAGGAGCTGCTGATAGGCAAGGTGTCAAAACCAATTGGCATGAAGGACTTGGGGAAAACCGCTTGTGAGGGCCAATTCCCCACAGGAGGCCAGTAAACCCTCAGCCCAAGGCAGGGTGTTTACGGGCGTAATTGATAGAATAATCACCAACACCCGAGACAACGGTGGACACATTTTTAACATCATAACCTTCAGAAGACAGCACTCAATTTTCTCCATCTCCCAGCCACCAAACTAGCCAGCTTATTGATGGTGAGATACCAACAGTTCGGTAAGGAACACTAGAAAGCCAGAGTAATTTTTCAGCGCACGGGCTGTTTGCCAAATGGCCCAGCGGCCCCTGCCCCCTCCCCCAGCGCCCCGCTGCTCCCTCCTGGCAATAGAGTGAACCTCAGGACTGTGAATCACTCAATGGACAAAGCGCCGGGCCAAGCCAGGATCTTTGTCTGCATTGGGGTGTATTAATAATTGAAGGTACTCGCCTAGAGGTAGGTAGGGGTGTGTGTGTGTGTGTGTGTGTGTGTGTGTGTGTGTGTGTGTGTGTGTGTGTGTGTGTGTGTGTGTGTNGGGTGCCTGCTGGGGTGATCCCTACGGGGCTCTGACAGGAGGTCACCGGCCTCTCTGAGGAGTTACATGAAGCATGAAGGAGAGCGCCTGAAAGCAGGAGCGGCTGGAAGCAAGGCTGCTGGGGGAGGAAACTGCTTGGGAACAAGTCCTAAGGAGAAAGGAGCTTGGTGTGTTCAAGCACTAGAAAGGAAGCCAGTGTGCTTACACACACACACACACACACACACACACACACACTTCTATCATCCCCTGGACACTGCGGCCAGCCCCACCAGCCTGAGTCTCCAAGTCCAATTTGAGCCACCTCCCACCCTTGCCACCTTCCACTCGAACAGCCATACCCACCCAAATGCCAGCCACACCCTGTGCCTTTGCTACTCAGAAAGCGTCCAGGTTGCCCCTGCCCTGGAGATCAAGACCCAGCTCCAGAGCCTGTTCTTAGCAGCAGCAGCTGCAGTCTGCTTTGCCGATACGCACGACTATCACCCAGTCTGCTTTGCCGATACGCACGACTATCCACATGAAGCCCTTGCCAGATCCAGGCCATCAGGCCAGGCTCCGTACTGGCCTCTGGAGTTGCCTCTCAGCCCTGGAGGTCCCTGGATACAGGCTGAGAAGGAGCCCACCTCCCCCAGGAAGTCTTCCCTGATTGCACCAAAACACAGCGACCACTCTCACTGGGAACCTGCAGAGACCTCCTTGGGATAGCTCACCTGCCGTGCCCTGTTTCCTGGGCTCTCGTCTCTGGTTTACTGCCCTCCATTACCTCTCCCCTACACCCACTCATTCACCAAGGACTTGCTAGGGAAAGTGAATGAAACTTCGTTCAGGAGGCTGCCCAGGTCACGTGAGCGGGCTGCAGGGGAGGGGAAAGACTCCAGGGGAACGCCTGGCCCTGCTGCACATCTGCCCTGTGGGGCTACCCTTGGCTCCTCTCTGAGCCTCAGTTTTTTCCCTGGTGAAATGAAGGTTGCTTCCTCTGAGGGCTACAGGTGGGCTTTGGGGCCTCAACAAACCCTCTGAAACTGGGCAAAACAATGTGGCATTTTTCTGAGAAAACAATCCAGTTTTCATCTGATTCTCAAGAGGATTGCAACCTCCAAAATAATCAGGAACCACTGGTCTAGACAAGCTCCAGTGTCCCTTGTAACTTTGCCATTTGGCCATTCATTCTTTTATTCATTCATTCAACTGACATGTATTGAGTGACTGCTCTGTATGGGAGTCATTATGATATACAGAATATATGTATGTGTAATCAGAGATATCATCTGAAGAGAGGCTTGCGAGTGTGTGTGTGTGTGTGTGTGTGTGTGTGTGTGTGTGTGTGTGTGTGTGTGTGTGTACAGAGATACAGGGAGGACCAAGGTAAGAAGACNCCTCAATCTCCATTTTCTCTCATTAGCAAGGGAGGCTGGTGAGAGTTAGGTGTTACATTTAGAGCAGCAGCAAGCAGAGGCTTTCTTCTTAATGCAAAGGGGCTTGGGAGGCAGGTCCTGCAAATGGTGAAGACCAGCCAGCAGCCACCTTGGCCGTCATTGGCTCTGGCTTCCTTGGTCACTGGCCCAACCCCACCTCCAAGACCTTGCTTGCTCGGCCCACATACCTGGAAACCTTCCCTGCCTCTCACCTACCAGAATCCTACCGATTCTTCCATCCCCACTGGTGGTGCCATATCCTGTCTGATGTACCGTAAGGTTACCTGTGCCTTGGACATGGTGAGGACTGACGCCTATTTCAGAAGCGAGGAGGTCCGAATGTGTGCTCGTAGAATGAATGAACCAAGAAATGAACGGAGGACTCCCTTATGCTCTTGCAGCTCAAACCAGGGAAGGAACTTCCTGAGGCATTGATTTCCCTCCCCAAAGTGAGGAAAGAACATTATTTTTGTCTTAAAACAAACATGAATATATTACGGGACAGAATGCAGAATTTATGAGTTTTGAATGAAACAGGAGGCATCACAGAAACATCGGCCCTGGCAGGGAGCTGTTCACTCTCCTGCATGGGACGAATCGCCCCCCAGTCAAGGGCCTTCTATCCTATGTAATCTGAGGCCTTGTTCGTCTCTGCAGCCTCGGGGTCCTCAAGCCATGTTCTGTGCACAGGAGTGTCAATATGTGGGCTAAAGGGGGATGGGGGCCAGGAGGAAAGAGAGGGGCTAGGGAGAGGGTGGTGTCCAGGATTTACACATGAGAATGCAAGTTGCAGCTCTGCCCTGACTTGCTGTGTGGCTTTGTATAAGTTGCTTCACTTCTCTGAGCTTCGGTTCCCACATGTCATGGCTTCCAGTCCTTATTCTGTCCTTATATAAGGACAAAATAAGGAATTTAGTCCTTATTTTGAGGACTAAATTCACTCATGCCGGTGAAGAGCCTGTTTCAGGGTGCAGGGCACAGTGGAGCCTCAACACCTGCTCTTGCCTGATGGCACCCGCTCCCTGCTGAGTTTTAGACACACACAGGCACATTCACCCAGGTGGGGTTCCTGCCCAGCCTCAGCTGATTGGGAAGGGGGCTGCTCCCCCTCCCAATAAAAATTAAAGTAGCTAACATTTTTGAGCACATGCTATTCACTA